ATTATTATTTCCTTTATTTCCTCCAAAAACGAAGAGTTACAGAAATAACGAACAAAACACTATTGAAAAGAGAAGAAAATGCATTCACAATCATGGTCACACCCTGACATAGTGACTCACACATGCACATGGACAGACACACACATAAGAGAATAATAATAGTACACGCATCATACCATAAAGTACTATAAACACAACACAATGATATAATAGGTACTATTACAGTCATTATACGGTGATAATTATGATGATAGACAGTATAACACTAATCATACATTACATCACACATTGATATAATAGACATATTTACACTCCTCAAACTACATTATCACATAATAGTACAGACAGTAATACACTTCCCGTACTAAGCAATCATACAACATTGTAATAAACAGTATCACATGCATCTCACTATAAATTATACAGCATTATTATAGACAGTATTACTGTTACATAAGTCTTACAATACAATCATACATTGAGTAGAACCCGTTGCACGAAGTCATACAATATAGTCATACAGTGGTGTGAAATACACAACATACAATATAATAATTAACTTGAAGAAACAGAGCAACCATGCAATGATTTCAGTTGTAGTAATACATATCATACCAGTTTGAAATATAACAGCTTCTGTATAACTGGTACTCTGTAGCGTGAAATAAACCAGCTTCCGTATAACTGGTACTCTGTAGCGTGAAATAAACCAGCTTCCGTATAACTGGTACTCTGTATCGTGAAATAAGCAAGCTTCCGTATAACTGGTACTCTGTATCGTGAAATATACCAGCTTCCGTATAACTGGTACTCTGTAGTGTGAAATATACCAGCTTCCGTATAACTGGTACTCTGTTGTGTGAAATATACCAGCTTCCGTATAACTGGTACTCTGTAGTGTACTATGTATCGTGAAATATACCAGCTTTTATATAACTGGTACTCTGTCGCGTAAAATATACCAGCTTCTGTATAACTGGTACTCTGTATCGTACTATGTATCGTGAAATATACCAGCTGCTGTATAACTGACAATTAGTTGCGTATACCGTCAACTCTGTTGTAATACTTCTAAGGTTTCCCTCAAGCAAAGCGATAGAACTTATAAAGCGTTGTCTTGTCTTCCCACTAAAGCGAAGCAGTAGAACTTATAAAACGTTGTCTTGCATTCCCACTAAAGCGAAGCAGTAGAACTTATAAACCGTTGTCTTGCCTTCCCACTAAAGCGAAGTAGTAGAACTTATAAAACGTTGTCTTGACTTCCCACTAAAGCGAAGCAGTGTAGAACTTATAAAACGTTGTCTTGCCTTCCCACTAAAGCGAAGCAGTAGAACTTAAAAAACGTTGTCTTGCCTTCCCACTAAAGCGAAGCAGTAGAACTTTTAAAACGTTGTCTTGCCTTCCCACTAAAGCGAAGTAGTAGAACTTATAAAACGTTGTCTGGTCTTCCCACTAAAGCGAAGCAGTAGAACTTTAAAAACGTTGTCTTGCCTTCCCACTAAAGCGAAGTAGTAGAACTTATAAAATTTTGTCTTGTCTTTCCACTAAAGCGAAGCAGTAGAACTTATAAAACGTTGTCTTGCCTTCCCACTAAAGCGAAGCAGTAGAACTTTTAAAACGTTGTCTTGCCTTCCCACCAAAGCGAAGTAGTAGAACTTATAATACGTTGTCTGGTCTTCCCACTAAAGCGAATCAGTAGAACTTTAAAAACGTTGTCTTGCCTTCCCAATAAAGCGAAGCAATAGAACTTATAAAACGTTGTCTTGCCTTCCCACTAAAGCGAAGCAATAGAACTTAAAAACCGTTGTCTTGCCTTCCCACTAAAGCGAAGCAGTACAACTTAAAAAACGTTGTCTTGCCTTCCCACTAAAGCGAAGCATTAGAACTTATAAAGCTTTAACCTACCTTACTCGGAGTGTTGTAACAGTAAAGCAGCACGCCGTGCAGTAACGAAAACATTTGCTGCAACATTTGATTTGAGGTACTTTTTTTCATCTTTACAGATTCCCTATCAGACAAATTTGAAGTGGACGGCGCTTCAAGTGAGGTGTTTTTGTTGTCTGCCTTTGACAGAGAAGTTGAGGATGAAGTCAGCTTTACTTTAGAGTGTTCCGTCAGCAAGGACGGCCAACCGGTCGGACAGTCGGTGGCTGCTGACATACGTATCACCGTAGGGGACACGAACGACAACCCAATTTTGTTTCAAAACAACATGGACAAATCAGTTATAGAATCCAATACAGAAAATCAGGTTAGACGCTGTTCAAACGTTGGGTTTTTTTGTTTTTTGTTTGGAGAAGGGAATACTTCTTGGTAGCAATGCGTTAGCAAAATATATGTTAATGCATATTGAAACCAAACAAATATTTGAAAATAGATAGCCCGGTATCTAGAAGACTCTGTGATGAACGGTTCCGTTGTCGTATTCAGTGTGTGACTTGGCACCTCACTGCTGTTCTACCCTATGGTGTCTAAACACATGGTAGGCATCATCCTTTCAAAGTGTCAATAAAAATAGAAATTGATTATTTTTCAAATTATTCCGAATTGTGGTTAGTATCATTAGCTTAGAATCCCACAGTATCTGGAATGTCTTAGTCACAAGTTGTCTTTATTTTGATAACATGGTTCTAAGAGATCTATTAGATAAAAGGGTGAGATTTAATATAGTTATGATATAGTTATTTCATGAAAATTAGTTTTGCATAAAAAAAACCAATTTTACTAGTTACCGTTACTTAAGCATGAAAATTCGTCTAACCGTAGTGGAGACTCCAAACCAACCAAACAAGGCTGATACAAATGTAGAACAGACTCGGAAATATTTCAAGAAAGCGAGGGATTAAAGAACCTTAAAAAGACCCCGAATTTTAAAAATGTGTTGAAACATCTTTGTGACCCAAAAAGGTTTAACACTAAGATGCCAGATAGCATACAAGTTAAAGACTAGCACCGACCTCCTATTTGTACATGTGTAGCGGAACTGGACTGGGTTTGATCGTCGGTCAATTGGTACTGCATCCGTCTAGAGTTCGGAGGGTCCCGGGTTCGAACCCAGGTCTGGCCATGCATTTTTCCTCTCCTGTTCAACATGTAGGGAAGCACAGCCGACATTGCCACAATCGCCTTACCAAGAGAGGTAAAGCATCGAAATGAGAGGACAGGAACCAGAGGTAAATAATATCCGTCAAGGTAGCCTGTCCACGGGAACAAAACCGTCAGACATAAGGGTCCAGGAGCCAGCCGGGCCCCTAGCCTTATGAGTTCTTACAGTATAAAACGCCCGGATCTGATCATCGGATTTGTTATTGTCAAACTTGATAACTAAGCAGATGGAACTTAGAAAGAACCTGAGAATAGATATCCAGCTAAGCCTGCTTGTTGGGGAAAAGCTGCCAAGATCGAGACACCCTTGATGTTATCGAGGTAAAACAGCAGCGACCGACAGGGACAGAGCAACCTATCCCACTCTTCAGGACGCACAAGGGACAACAGAAATAGAATCAGAATGATTTGGTTGAAAACCCAGGAACTTGGTTCCTAGCCATAAAAGCTGGACCAGACAGTTAAGGCACAGAGGAAACCATATTGAAGGAACGACAGTTTAAAGAGGAAGACCGCATAGGCTCATAGGGTTCCCGCATCTACGACTCGAGACAAAACCAGAAATCAGCTGCCTAACCGTGTACCTGCCAAAGTCAAAACTCCTCAAAAAGGAAGAACGGGAAGAAGGACTGTCCATCTCAGGACTTCCTAGAAAAAACATTGGCTATTTCCGTGCGACACTCAGAAATAGTACGAGGAGCAAGTGTAGGATCCTGCAACAACCAAACAAGGAAGTCGGCGATCGTTTGGGGACAGATGTCCGGATAAATATTTCAGCAGAAACAGCAATCACAAATCACGGGAAATACCCCCTTCCTTTTATCTAATCTTGCGCAGTCATCCGGGTTTTTTTCCACTTATCCTTCATCGTGATGCCTATAAATGGTTTGTTTTGTTTATAATAGGTTCCAGCATGCATTTTTCTTTTACAGTGGAGATTCTTATAAGAATCGATGTTATCAAATTATAAATAATAATTAAAAAAAAACATTAAATGTTGACTAACCAATTTCGTCATCCAAGAACGAAGAACAATGAAAATACTGATGTATATTTATTGGAATTGGCTCTATCGGTACTCTGAACATGAATACTGAAAGTGATTTTTTAAGGATCATTGTAGCTAAAATTGTAATATTTTCCATTGGGTCCATTCCTGTGACCGTCTTTAAACCATATTTATTACAACTGGAAGGGATCATATGAATTAGCAGAATGTCCATTCTGCTGTTCTAGTGAAACCGTCGCCGTTGTTTGAAACAGAAGACGAATTTCTCGATTATCGTACTTTGGATGTGGATTGTCCTAGGATTGATTAGTACAGTTTATGGTATGTAGGTATGGGTGATCGTAGGTCCTGTTCAGATTCTCAACGCAAATACCATACAAGAAGATAGAATACCCCTAAACATACGCCATGAACGGGTAAAAGTATGGCATACTATCAAATCAAAGCAGTTTCCGAAATTTTCACGGCAAGATTGTTTAATAAATGATTACTTCTGTGACGCCATGTCAGATACCGACTATGCTTTAGCGGTAGATACTCTTCCGCTGAGGAAAATGTCAAAGTAATGACGTCACATATCACATTGATATGGCACAGAACATCAGTCCAACTGGTAATGATCTTTTTTGAACTCAACAAAATCTTTTCAATCACTCTCTAGTCAGATTTTAGAGAAAACATTGTTCGTGTGGCTCCAGAACCGGGGGTAACCGTGTACATCTATGTAGGTAAGAGTTCCACATTGGTTTTCCACATAGGTGTTGCGGATAGACGTTCCACGTGGGTGTTCAACATAGGCCACATGTAACTTGTCATTCTTACTCTCCATGAACAGCACCAGTTTCAATAATTGTTGATTTAGAAGGTTAAAGTGGGACGGGGTACGATCTGCTGCGAGGCGAAGTTGCCAGCCTTTGTCCATGTAATCACATGTCATATTACAAAATGTATGAACAAACTAAAAAATGCATCCTTTAAAATGAGTAAAGATGCTTGCGCTTTGTTATTAGTTAGGCTGAGAGTATGTACTGCAGTGCTTTTAGCGCTTATGTCTTAAAGTATAACATATGATTCACACCATTTTCCAAATATGTCTATAACAGTGGTACAGTGTGACGCTGAATGATCGGGACCTGTTTGGTTGTGAACACCACCGAACCCAGGTGTCATTGGACCCTCGCGGTGCATGCAGTCAAAGTGCAATCGACATGGGTCATCATGTTGGTTCTGGACCTCTCGGTCATGTCGTCTGTCGACTAAGTAAGTATTGGTTACTAATATCATGTTATAACTGATATTTAGAAATTCACAAAAATGTCTCAGTATCAATCCGAAATTGGACTAAACTTGATGTACCTGGGTCGCAGGTATCACTTTAGCTACTGTTCCTGTAATGAGCTGTACTTAATATTGATAGCCTCACGGTTAGTTACTAGTGATAAATCAGCCATTTCGAGGAAGTAAGTTTAACACCGTCGGGTTTTACGGTGCTATACAAAACTACCAAACAGATGGCTCGCTATAAGATGATATGTTACCTTATAGCCTTATCGTGACGGTCCAAACGACAAGTGCACATATGGCCGGCAATATCTCAACAACTGTAGCCAACTTAACCCTCAAACAATTCCAGGAAGTCGAACTCGCCGTATAACATGTTGGCTGGCTGCTGTAATCACTAGAATGCGCCATGTTTCCTGGTTTTATGTATCTGTCAAAAGCCTTGTTATCTTCAAGACAATTTTTATGAATGATATTTCTAAATGAATCATGATTTATACTATGTATGATTTATTCGCAATGGCAAGATGACCACAGGATGTTTAATTAGGCCATATTTGGATATGTTAGGATAAACAGAGGTACATGAATCTTCAGTATTGGGGTATAAAGCTAACGCGTGTATGGGACACTTGGCGCTGGCCGAGGGCCAAACATGGCCGTCATGGTACATGATATTGATATAACGTTCAATTGGTTTCAATAAAGCCCAAAGTTTATCGATCGTGTGTGCTTTATTGTGGTGTAGCTTTGAAATGGCAAGGGTTGTTGCTCGCATCCGTGCGCCCTCCACGAACGTGCCGGAAAGCAAGATTGTAGATAGATGGTTATCATTTAAATTTCGTTGACGTAATATTTGTGTTACGTGATTACGCGTTCGTTTTCATGCATTAAGGCACATGTTGTATTATGATATGATGGATCTGCCGTAAACCAGCCTGTTTATACTTACGGCCACCTGCCATAAAATAGTCTATTCATAGTAACACTGTGTGACCACTTGTCATAAACCAGTCTGAAATTATGTCATTAATTAATAAAAACAATAATAGTATAAAAAGTAATCTAAACACATCATAGGTTTTTAGCCCACCATCATCTGATGGTGGGCTATTCAAATCACCCTGCGTCCGTGGTCCGTTGTCCGTCCGTCGTCCGTCCTAAAACAATTCTTGTTATCGGTATTTCTTAAGAAGTACTAGAGGGATCTTTCTCAAATTTTATATGTAGGTTCCCCTTGGTCCTTAGCTGTGCAGGGAAACTTTTGAGACTGATCGGATAAACAACATGGCCGACAGGCAGCCATCTTGGATTTTGATATTGAAAGTTTGTTATCGCTATTTCTCGGGAAGTACCAGAGGGATCTTTCTCAAATTTTATANCCTTGGTCCTTAGCTGTGCAGGGCAACTTTTGAGACTGATCGGATAAACAACATGGCCGACAGGCAACCATCTTGGATTTTGATATTGAAAGTTTGTTATCGCTATTTCTCGGGAAGTACCAGAGGGATCTTTCTCAAATTTTATATGTAGGGGCCCCCTGACCCCTCGTTTTGCATGTTATATTTTGAGACTGATCATAAAAACAAAATTGATTAAAAGAACTAAACAGATCCTCCTCATATTGCAATGATCGATTCTATTTCTATCACATTAAGTACTGTACTAGTAAATATGTGAAATGACAAACTCACTTTGGAGGTTGGCTTTCATACACATCAGTATTAAGTTTAGATCAAAAGTTACCTCAAGGTGCATTTACTGTTAACATGACTCGATCAAACAGATAAGAGGAAAGAAGAGAAAAGATCGAACTGACAAAGAACTAATGAAGATTGTAAAAAGGTGGGCGCCAAGATCCCTCTGGGATCTCTTGTTTGTATTACTATTGAAATAGTTTATTAACTGAATTTCAGACCTTGTGTTCTTTACTCACGACCACCTGTCATAAACCAGCCTGTTTATGCTTATGACCTTGTGACATAAACCAGCATGTTTATGCTTATGACCTTGTGACATAAACCAGCCTGTTTATGCTAATGACCTTATGAAATAAACCAGCCTTTTTATGTTTACGATGTTCCGCTAACAGCTTTCTTCTCCGAATCAGCCTGTGTTTTTTGCTAACAACGTTCAATTCTGGACCAGCCTCATCTTTTTGTTTAACGGGCCTGTCGTAAACCAGCCTGTTTATGCTCACGACCACCTGTCGTAAACCAGCCTGTTTATACTTGCGATGTTTTATTGTTCAATATATAGTTGTTTTGCTGTTGATCAAAGATAATCAAAGACAGCTTAAAGCAAAAATTCAGTTTATTATGAAAAAGAAACTAATGTTCCTTTGATTTTCTTTGTGAACTAATTCGACATCAATGAGTTTATTTGTCTTATAAAAACTGCAGTCTGGCTAATCGAGTGGATTTCGATTGTATTAATGTAAACTTGACTATATTTGCCAGGGGTACACGTGGAGCGGGAGAAGATTGATGACAGCGATGACTATACCTGTGTGATAAGTATTACCGACCCGGGGTTCAAACCTTCCGGAGCTGCCAACTATTCTAACGTGGTGAGTGATATTTCCCTCCGACCTTATAAGGCGAGCGCTGTGTTGATGTACAGTAGAGTATATATCGTTCTGGTACGTGTTACCGGAGTTTATCCGTTTTAAAGGTATTTCCTCCGTGCACATGTCAATGTAGGAAATATGTTTTGGGCTCATTTTTTTCTTCTAAGTACAGAGAGATGGAGCCTGCTTCACAGATATTAAGTGAACAGTCACAGCTTTACTACCTCAATTGTAGGTCTGTTTCTTTTCCTTCTTCTCAGTAATAACATAGAGTTTTCATGTCAAAGTTGATTCACTATCCTGAAACTTTTATTTGTGTTAGTAGTTTACATGTCACAGTTAATTCAATATCCTGAAACTTTTATTTGTGTTAGTAGTTTACATGTCACAGTT